GAAAAAATAACATCCCCGTTTATTTTATCGCATCGCCCTCGTTTTATCAACTTTCCCCCACCTTTTCCCACTTTTATTTCTTTATTTCTTTTGAATCCCAAAGCTCGTGGAGGAAGTGCAAGTCAGTGTCAATGAAGAGGCTACAGACAAGCCCAAGACGGGAGAAGAAGGAGCGTTCGAATTGCCTGAAGGTGACTTCGAAGATGGGATGTTAGGAATCAGTGTAAGTATTGAGACGCATCAACATAACGATGATGATGATTGTTTTTATAATGATAAGGATGATGATATTGATTAGTTGATGGTAATAATAATGTTGGTTGATATTGATTAGTTGATGATATTGATAACTTGATAATGATAATAATGATGGTGATTTTAATAATTTGATGATGATGATAATGACGAGAATATTGATCACTTCATGATGATGATAACGTTGATGATAATGATTGTTCGATGATGATCAAGATACTGTTGACTGGTGAGAATAAAGATAATGATAATGATGGTGATAAATGGTAATAATAGTGATAAAGACAATGAGGATAGTAATAATGATAATAACATTGATAGATGATAATGATAATGCCATATAATGAAAATAGCAAATATGATAATAATATAAATATCATGATAATGATAATGATAAGGATAATCATAATAATTATTATAATAATAGCAATAGTAATGATGATGATAATGATGATGATGTTGATGATGTGACAGTGGAAATGATGATGATTATCATAATGATGATGATAATGACGATGAGGAGGAAGAGGAATAAGTATTAATAGTAATGATAATGATAACATTGATAAGAAAAATAATAATGATGATAATAATGATAATAACAACAACAATAATGATAATAATAATAATAATAATAATAATGATAATAATAATAATAACAATAATAATAATAATAATAATAATAATAATAATAAAGATAATAATAATAATAGTAGATATGATAATAATAAAAAGATATAATAGTAGTGATGATAATAATAATAATAATAATAATAATAATAATAATAATAATAATAACAATAATAATGATAATGATAATAATAATAACAATAATAATAATAATAATAATAGACTTGCTAATAATAATAACAAAATCAATAATAAAGAATACATCAAACCTTTTACAGGATGTGGGATACACCTTTCATTAACAATAAAAGAAAGAATTTCCAAAAATGACCTTAAAAGACACCAAAGATAACATATGCAGCATCTCATATAGACTTAATAAGCGCGTGAGATTAACTATAAGTTTAATAAAAGAGGAGAGAAAAAAATCAATGAAAATGATACCAAAAAAAAATCATCTTAATCTAAAAAAAAAAATATGTTAATTGAAAGAAAAAAAACTGAACACAATCTCAGCTCGAGTAAAAAAAAAAGCATTATTGAAACTCGAGTAAAAAAATAATAATAATAAATAAGAAATGGATTTAAACTCGATTTAAAAAAAAGAGAGAAAATCGACCCAAACTCAAACAAAACGACAGAAAAAAATTAAAACCACTTAAATCTAACACCGCCCCTCTGTGAGATTGCAATGAATATTGCACGCCGAGACTCCTGCAGGGCTTGCTGACCGGGAAGGTGTTCCCTCAGGAGGAGGACTCCATCCAGGCCCTGAGGACGACCTTGGCCCTCGAGGAGCACTTCTGCGACGAGGACTTCCCCGCCGACAATACCACTATCTTCTTCTCGGAGCGAACGGACGCAGACATCGCGTGGAAGCGACCCTTCGTGAGTGGCCGCCGTCTGCTCTCCCCGTCTGTCTGTCTGTCTGTTTGGATGCCTGTCTGCGTCTCTCTGTCTGTCTGTCTGTTTGGATGCCTGTCTGCGTCTCTCCGTCTGTCTGTCTGTCTGTTTGGATGCCTGTCTGCGTCTCTCCGTCTGTCTGTCTGTCTGTTTGGATACCTGTCTGCGTCTCTCCGTCTGTCTGTCTGTCTGTTTGGATGCCTGTCTGCGTCTCTCCGTCTGTCTGTCTGTCTGTTTGGATGCCTGTCTGCGTCTCTCCGTCTGTCTGTCTGTCTGTTTGGATGCCTGTCTGCGTCTCTCCGTCTGTCTGTCTGTCTGTTTGGATGCCTGTCTGCGTCTCTCCGTCTGTCTGTCTGTCTGTTTGGATGCCTGTCTGCGTCTCTCCGTCTGTCTGTCTGTCTGTTTGGATGCCTGTCTGCGTCTCTCCGTCTGTCTGTCTGTCTGTTTGGATGCCTGTCTGCGTCTCTCCGTCTGTCTGTCTGTCTGTTTGGATGCCTGTCTGCGTCTCTCCGTCTGTCTGTCTGTCTGTTTGGATGCCTGTCTGCGTCTCTCCGTCTGTCTGTCTGTCTGTTTGGATGCCTGTCTGCGTCTCTCCGTCTCTCTGTCTGTCTGTTTGGATGCCTGTCTGCGTCTCTCCGTCTGTCTGTCTGTCTGTTTGGATGCCTGTCTGCGTCTCTCCGTCTGTCTGTCTGTCTGTTTGGATGCCTGTCTG